AAAAAAACGGAGACCGCAAACCCTAAACCCCGTTGCTTCGATGCCGGGGGTTGAGGGTTTAGGGCTTAGGGTTTAGGGTTTAGGGTTTCGGGTTCAGGGTTCAGGGTTTAGGGTTGAGGTTTAGAGGCTTCGGGTTGCGAAGAGGTTCGCGCTCGGGTTTGGGCTTAAGCTTGGAGCTTAGGTTTGATGGGCTAAACCCAAATGAAGTAAACTCTAAACCCTAAACCCNNCTAAACCCTGAGAACCCTAAACCCAAAGGAACAAAACTGTAGACCCTAAGCCCTAAATCCAAACAAACAAAACTCTAGACCCTAAGCCCTAAACCCAAAGGAACTAAACCCCTGAGCCTCCAAGGCTTGGGGTTGCAGGCTTTGGAGAATGGCTTGAGGGTTTCGGGGGGGGGAGGTGGGGTTACGGCGTGGGGTTTCGGGTAAGGGCTTGACGGTTTAAAGTTGAGGGTTTAGGGTTTAGGGTTTCGGGTGTGGGCTTGACGGTTTAAGTTTTACCGCGATGTTTCGTGTCAGCAGCGAAAACTATGCAGTACAGAGCTTTCGAGTGCTTGGAGCCCTGCAAAATGCAAATGTGTGTGTGTGTGTGCCATTCCGCACATGCATCCACCCCGCGCGGTTCAAGTCGGCAAAGTCTCCAAGCCTATTCCGTCTAGGGCTTGAGTCTTAGATTCACGACAAACAAGTTTTAAGGATTTGGGGTATGGGGCATGCCCACGACCCTGATTTTGTGAACAAAGAGCACGTAATGGGCAGATTACTTGCCAGAGTGGGGAGCTGAGAATGGGGCTTCGGCGTCGGTTCAGACCATGGGTAGCTGAGGGAATGTTGCAGCTACCCGGGACCCTCACACATCATCCCTTAACTGAAGGGCATTACCCGAAAAGCAGCTGGCAGATTTTCTACGTTGCAAAACGCACAGATGTAACGACAGCAAAGGCAGTTCTTGCTAGACGAAAGCCAGTTGCTGCAACGAACGAGTAAACAAGCGCAAGCGGGAATGACCAAACAAACGAACCTGCGAGTGAAGAAATCATCGAGCCAACGGACGGATGTACGGACGAACGCAGGAGCGGACGAAGGAGCGAACTCGCACGCGCACACGCACACGCACACGCACACGCACCACACACACACACACATACACACATGCACGACAATAGCTATTGTTATTGGTACCCCAAACCCCAGCAGAAGATTCTGAAAACGCACTGTCTAAGTTCTTAACCCCAGAGCCTCATTCAAGTCCAAGGGAGGGCTCTTCTGCTGGGGAGGGGGTGGGTATGTGTGGGCAGGTGAACAACTCCCCCTCTTGCAAGAGGATGCAGCCCAGTTGCCCCAGCATTGAGTGCAACTGGACATGCAGACGGGACAGTTTTTGGACTGGAGTCTTTGGGGCCTTAGTTTCTGATCTTCTGGCTTGGGTTCGGAGTTGAGTGCTTTGGGTTGTCGGGTTGCGGGCTTGAATCTCCGGGTGCCGCAGGGTTTGGGATGCAGAGCTTGGGACTTGGGGTCAGAAGTGAAGATTCCAAATACTTGAACTCCCCAACACTTGTTGGGCGCCTAGCAGCTATCAAAAAAAGCTTTCGGGGACGTGCAAACAACTACTTTTAAGGTGCAGGCTCGACTCCGGATCCTTTGAATAGTTCAGGGCCATCCTACAGTCCTCGATCCTCAACAACGGCATCTGAGGCAGCCCCAGGACAGCACCTACGCCGAGTTCAAGTACACCTGGCGGAGCCATGGAAAGTGCTTGAAAGGGAGTGTGCAGTGTACTGCGGGAAAGTTAGGTCTTTAGCACAACATCGTCATTACCTAGTGCTCCCCAAACTTGCAACCCTTCAATTCTGTGCCGTAAACTCTATCGGAGGTGCTACCTGCATAGCTGCATGGCGGCTGTGCACCGGGCAAATCCATGTTGCCCCGAAACCCTAAACCCGAAACTCTAAACCCTAAACTCTAAAACCCTAAACCCTAAAGCAAACAAAAACCGAAGACCGGGTCTTCAAGAAAAGCCTATAGTAGGACCCCCAATCTGGGTTCTTGTTAAGGAACCTAATTGAAGTTACCATAATAAGGAAGCCATATTACTTACTATAGATCCCTGTTATGGTAACTTAAATAATATCCCTGAACAAGAACCCAGTAATTTTGGGCGCCAGCACACCAAAGGGTCCAACTGAGGACGCGGCGCTGGCGCCGGGTCCCGGCCCGGACAGCAATGACAAGCAGACGGAGCTCCCAGCCACCCAGAACCCCCTGGATGGGTGGCTTTAGGGTTTAGGGTTCAGGGTTCAGGGTTTAGGGTTCAGAGTTTAGGGTTTGGGTGTAGGGTTTAGGGTTTAGGCTTTAGCAGCCAGAGTGTAGAACTTTTTTTTGGGGTTCCGGTATATGTGAGAAGGTTTCAAAACTAGTGTTACATGTTGTCACTTCTCGTCCCTGTTATTCTTTGTTTTCGTCTCATGGTCATTATCGTCGTCTCAGAAAACGGGTGACCTCAAAAGGACTGTTAGCATGGAAGTCTTGCAGCAGAGTTGCTCAGAAACTCGCAGCGTCTAATGCATCTGATAGGGGCTGCGACATGTTCTGGCTTCACTTCTCAATTTCGCCTGAGAACATCCGACAAGAAGCCCTCAAGCCAGGGTGAAGCCATATCATGATTTAGTGCTCCGGACTTGTTTTTTTGGCATCCATCTAGGGGTTCTGGATGGCTCTTCCTTCTCGAAATGCCGTCATGTGGGCTGACTTGTCTCCTGGCGCAACTTCCCCAGGCCGTTGCTGGATTTTCGTCAAAATGAGATGCCGTACATGGCCTCTCGAGCACCAATACATGTGTCTGTCGCAGTCGTTCTCGCCCAGCCTCGAGCGGGCCAGCACGAGGGCAGAAAAGGTGTCGGTTTCGATCTGCTGCGCAGGCACTGCATGCAACTAAAATCTAGAGAAACAGCCTGCTGCGAAGAGTAGCAGGAAAATGCTATGACCATCTATTTTTCATAGCCCGGCCGTGTTGTGCTAAACCACTAAACCCTAAATCCATTCTGCTTTGCGAGTGTGTGAGTCGAAATCCATTCTGCTCTGACATCAATGCAAGCAAATTCTCGGCTGGCCTTGCCCGATTGTGTGTCGCATGGTGATGAGGATAAAGATCACAATCAGGACACGAACGCTGTTGCTGCTGCCGCCGGCCACTGGTGACGATGATGAATGCTGCATTGTTCTGGTGGCTTGTCCATGCGCTAGCCCTCCTCCTCCTCCTGTTCCACTACGCCAACAGTTTTTGCTGCTGCTATCACTGCTGCCGCGGGTGTGCTCGTCGTATGCCTGCGATGATGTGTACTCCTATTGCCACTGCTACGCCTACGGCTACTGCTACTGCTATGGCTGCTGCTACTCCTACCACTACCGCTGCTGCTGCTGCTGCTGCTGCTACTGCTGCTGCGACTACTACCATCACTACCACCACTACTACTACAACTACAACTACAACCACAAGTACAACAACAACGACTACTACTAAGACGACGATGACGACAACTGCAACAACAACAACAACAACTACTACTACTACTACTACGACGACGACGACGACGACTACTACTACCACCGACACTACGGTGATGACGAGTATTACTTCTGCTGCTACAGCTGCTGCTACTGCTGCCGCTGGCTGCCGCTGCAGCTGCCGCTGCCACTTCCACTGCCACTGCCACGGTCACTGCCACTGCCACGGTCACTGCCACTGCCACTGCTGCGGCTTCTGCTTCTGCGACGACGACCACTAGCACCGCAGTCTTGTAGGTTTTTGGGGTCTTGTTTTCAACGCGGTTGTTGGAAGTCTGTATCGCAGGCCAGGCGCTGCATATGTGGACTGCCTCCAAGGGGCCGACGAGGAGAGACAGCAAGGGCTGGGGCCGGCTAGGGCTCGCGGTTTGAAGAGAGGCTTCGGTGTCTCGGGTTCAGGGGCCAGAGAGTGCGAGGGTAGGTGGTTCGGGGTTGGGGATTGGTGGTTTAAAGAGTTCGACAGAGGGTTTCGAACCGGTTTCGGGGTGCCCCCAGTGTAGGTACGGGTTGCAGGGGTTCGTGTTTCTTGCGGCCAATGGACCGGGGCCGGCGAGTGTTTTCGTTCCGGGGAGTTCGCGCCCTCTCGCACCGCAAGGCAGCAAGTGCCTCCTTCATGCTCAGCTACACCTGGGGCTACAAGAGGCTTGCCTTTGTCAGAGGGCTTTAGGGTCTAGTCTTTATAGGGTCTCTTCAGGCCTTTATTGTTGTTCAGTAGCAATCTGATTAGTAAGTCCTCCTTCAGTGATGCAGGGGTTGCAATACTATGATCCCCATTCTGGTCCTCATTAAGCGAGTGTTTTACCAAATCAGGCTCTACATCAAGGGCGTCTTGGCGGTAAGCCCTACGCCCTAAACCCTGCGCCTGTACTCGACAGACCTCGCCCGGCATTTCCCAGTTTCCCCAGTGGTACCCTTTTGCCATTTTTCTGTTGAGGTTCTCCTGTATTGAAACAAACCTTAGTAGCTGGGATACACTTTACACTTTTTGGGATAATGTTACCCACTATAAAACTGAAAGTGTGCACTCTTTGGGGCTTATGAGCTCAGCAACTAAGAAACAGTAGGAAAAAGGGCACCCTTACCATCAGCGCGGCGACTGGGGATCCCAGTAGCTTTGTAGCTGAATGAGTACACTTTACCTCCTCTTGGGTGGTAATACTGTTGATGATATCAATCCTGCATTACCTTAAAGACCCTAAACTATGGGAATGATGGTATATTCCGTATTAATTATGGGTAATGCAGGATTTATATCCTCAACCGTATGATCGCTTATGAAACAGCAAGTCTACACCTTTCTGGGCTTATGAACTCAGCGACGAACGGGGTCTAGGAGCTTGGATTTTGGTGTTTGTGAGGCCCGGAGAGGTGTCATCGAAGCCTCGTTTGCTTCCCTGCAGCAAAGGATGGGCGATATCATGGACACCTTGACGCAGTACTGCCGGGACGCCAACCTCGACCCCAAGCGAACGCGACTCCGATGCAAGCTGTCGGGTGGTAGTAGAGGAGTCGGAAGAACTAGAAAGCTCATATCAGACCTATAGTGCCTTATAATACAAGTTGTCGTAGAACCCAGAGACTCCAAAACCCCTTAATTAAGGAATATACCATAAATTGTCATAGGAGCCCTAATAAGATTTAAGGGTATATTCTTTAATTAAGGGCTTTTGGAGTCTCTGGGAATCGACCCCAGAACCCCATTCTCTTTTACAAGGCCCACCGAAAGGTAAGGTAGGGTCTCTGACCGGTAAGGGTCCGGGGGACCTCTCTGGAGTTGCTGTATGGAGCTGAACGAGTCAGACAGCTAAGCAGTCTGCAGCCCTACTTCCCTAAACCGACAACCGGAACCCCTAAACCCCAAGCCCTAAACCTACGGCCCTAAGGAATCGAAGCCCTGAGCGCCAAGCGAGCTCCAAACCCAAAGCCCTAAACATCTGTAGTTCTCTAAATTTGGATCCCGTTTCGGGTCCTGTTTACACGCGTGCCGCCCGATATTGGGAACCTAAAAAGGTTCTATAAAGGGGACCCTAATTTAGAGAACTGCCCAACTCGAGAACCCCAGGCTCCAAGAGCCCCCCAAACGGTTTAGAGTTTAGGGTTCAGG